AACCATCTCATCCTCTGCCCTCCTCTTCTCCTTTTGCCTTCAATCTTTCCCAGCATCAGGGTCTTTTCCAAAGAGTCCTCTCTTCGCATTAGGTGACCAAAGTATCTGAGCTTGAGCTTGAACTTCATTATCAAGCGATATAGGTACTATCGCATTATTCAGTTTTCATATTTTGCTGTTCAAGAGCAATTAACTATTAACCACCTGGCTGTAGGTTGTCCACCTTTGAGATGGATCAAGGAGTTAACATTCATTCTACTGTATGTCAGATTCACTTGTGTCCATTCAAAAGCCCTTGCTGTCTCATTTCAGTATTAAGCTGCATTTGAGAAACACACATAGAAATATGCATATGCAATATATACAATATAATGTTAATGTAAATATATTATATTTTATGAATTAGTAATATAAAAGAATGTATCACAAAAGTGCCAGATTAAAACAATGTACATATTCTTGAACATTATTTTAGGAAATGAGAATCAGGTTGATTCACTTTTAAGTATGAACTGCCTAAAATCTAAGGAATCTCTAAATGTTGTCTACCCGGTTGAGCTTTGTCTTAATTTCTTGAATAGAAATGCCACAGGGCAAATCATTTCAGGTTTTGTTTGTTAGATATGTAAATCCAAATCTAAGAAAGAAATGTTATATGTATTTGGTGGTGCTATAAAAGATTCAAGTATTTTATGTGGAAGAAACTAAGTTGCTCTTTTTAGAGAAAAAAAGTTTTGATAGGCTGTATTCAATATGTATGAAATTTGGGAAACGAGAAAACATTACGTGTAATATTAATAAGCTTAAAGCAGGTAGAAGATTATGTATTAACTAATTAATGGAAGGCAAATAAAGTTCCATCCACTGGGGAATAGTAAGAGAGATTATAATGTAATACGATAATAAACAATATTTATTGTATACAGGTAACTTGAATGTGCTTTATATGAGAGAGAGTGAAAGTTCTCTAAATAATTGGTATCCTAATTTTCTTATGGCAATTATTATGTTCATGATCAAGCTTTAATATTGTGTGTGTGTGTGTGTGTGTGTTGGGGGGGTGTCTTTTCCTTTCTTCTTTGGGATGAAAGGCAGAATCAGAAGTTGTTAGTCACTGAAAGTAGTTGTTCAGAGTAGTTGTTTCACCTAAGGCTGCAATCTCTCTACCTACTTTCTTCTATAACTTTTCAGTAATCTTCTTTGCATTTTTTCTATTTAAACTTCTTTTGCCAACATGATGCCTACATGTTGCATTTCTGCACTAGTTCTTACTATGATGGTCAGATTTATGTCCTATCTCCAAATGTTCCTACATAAACAAACACATGTGGAATCCATTTATATAGAAAACCAGAAAGCCAGGGATAAAATTAAATATGAACCCTCCTCTCTAACTGAATATTTTTCTATATGTGAAAAAATGCATTTTAGAAGATTAAGTTATGTATGTGGTAGAGTATAACCAAGTAAGGTTTCCTACCTCAATGAGAACTATGTCTCTAAGTAATATAATTCACTGATCATACAGAATACATACAGCAGCATATTTTACATAAACTTACCAGGAAATATTTGATTCCTTTTTTATTTCTTCAGAATCTGATCATTTAATAAGCTTATATGTCCTGCCCCATAGGGTCCTGTGGGTCCAAGAGGATCTCCAGGTCATCAGGGGAAACCAGTAAGTAGTTTGTTTCAAAATATTTCTATGTAATTAAAATTATAATATGCTGGCCATGTTTGATGCCCTCTGGATATATAGGTCATGCTGGCTTGTGGATTATGGAAGTTAAAGCTGACGTGTTTGATGGATGCCATATTTGGGTAGGCTGAATTATATTTATCATTACTGGAATAAGTTTGGAGTTCATATGTTCCATATCTCCTCCTTTTACAAGGTGGTGCCTGAGATTGTTTGTTTACATTTTATTACTAATCACAGTTTAAGTTATGTCTACAAGTTATCTTAAAAACTCTTGAAATAAGCCAGCTTCATAACTCACAATATAGGTTTAAGATGGCTTATTTCAATAAGCAAACCACAGTTAAGATTATCCATAGTTTATCTTGATTCAGATGTACTCACAAGACTTGCTTGATCTGAAGTGGAGGCAGAGAGGTTCCTGTCTCTACTGGGGAGCTGCACTGAAAAAAGAAAGTATTGTAGGTTGGTACCTTAATGTACCATTCCTTGCAACTTATGCCCATAATATCTGAGTGCAGTTATTGAGTTATTTTGCGGGTGTGGATTTTTCAATGTGTTACATGGTATGTTTTGGAGCTTCTCTTGCTATACCCTCTTGCCACTATAATCAATCAATCAATCAATCAATCAGGGATTAATTAGTATAACCAAATGAATTTTAATAAATGTGTGGGCTGTTAATTTTCTGAATACTGGAAAGCTTACTAGTGGTGATTTTGTTTTCATGTACACTTATTTACCATTACATTTTAATCTTATTCTTTCTTCAGGAACCTCAGACTAGTATATGTATATGTATATGTATATGTATATGTATATGTATATGTATATTTGTGTATGTGTGTGTGTATGTGTGTGGGTTTGGGTATATATATATATATATATATAGTTAGTTAGTTAGTTAGTTAGTCTTGGCAGCCTCTCTCTATTTAAGCATTGAAAACTCTTGAGTATTGTCTAAAAGCGTAATATAACTTAGTCCATCATTTTAAATTATATATAACTCAACTATTGCATTCAGTTGGGAATATATTAATTAACTTCCATAAAATTTGCATGACAAGTAACTGCAAGGCAAGTAGTGAGCTAGACTATAGGTTTGCCCCTAGTTCGAGTTTTTCTAAATAATATATATTTCTTACAATCGATGGCATTCATAGTATATAGTGATGATACCAAAATTGAATACTGATATCTGACACAAGTACGTACAGTAAGTCACAAAATGTGAATGTTAATATTATCACACACATTTCATCATTTACCCTTCTACCTTGCTTCTGCCCTGTTTATGTATTTATTTATGTCTGCTGCAGTCTTAGAGACCCTTGGTGGTTTAAAAACCATATTACTCTGCAAGCAATCCAACAATACAAATAAAATAAAAATAAAGTTACAATTAACACAACAAAACATCCATAATACACAGTAAAAGCCCGGGTATGTGCAGGGGCCCGTTTCTTGGTTAATATAGCGATTATGATGTGTGACATTCTCGGCTGCTATGTATTTTAATTTTTGTACTATTATAATTGTTTTTATTTTTAAAAAAAATGTTTTTTGCTGACCAGAATCACCTGGTGAGATGGGTGGCCATACAAATTGAATGAATGAGTGAATGAATAGAAACAAAATGAATATAAGTAATTAGCAGTAATATACATATGGTTACAGGACCAATACAGTTGATCATGAGATTTCATATCCCAAATGCTCTCCAGAAAAATTCTATTTTTAATAACTTGAAGAAAGCTGACAAAGGAGAAGCTGATCAAATTTCTGGAAGGAGGCTATTCCGGAGCACAGGCACAACAGCAGCATCTGCATGCCTCTGCCCCCTTCTGTGACACTTCTGTCACAGAAGTGGAGGTTCTCCCTAGACATATGAGTTGGGCAGGTTGAAACTGGTTGGAAAAGAAAGGGCTGCTAGCATCTTGGTGCCAAGCCATTTGGGCTTTAAAAGTTCAATCCAGCATCTTAAATTGTCCTCAGAGGCATATGGGGAGTCAACACAGAGTTCAGAAAACAGGTGTCACAATCTCATGTCAACCTATACCAATTGAAACTCCCAGGTAGTTTTTAAAGGTAGCCACATATAAAGCACATTGTGATAGTCCAGAGAAGTAAATACTGAAGGCATTAGTTATCTTTACAAAGTCTTTGGGCTCCAGGTAGAGCTGCAACTCTCATACTAGCAGGAGCAGGGCAATATTCCTCCCCCGCAACCTGCCACAGCCTCTAACCTGTCCATTGAGCAGTGGCTGAGAATCTATGCAGGGGCCCCAATTTGTGGACCTCCTCTTTCAGGGGCAGTGCTATTGTATCAAGAGTCAAGACTGAAAACCTCAAAGAAATTTGAACAAAAGTCACCTTGTCTTGCTTGGGTTCAACTTCAGCTTCTTTTGTCTCACAGCCTCCACACATTATGAAGGAATGAAATTATTTTTATGAAATTCTGAAATTAAGAAATTAGGGTTATGGAAAATCAATTCTGGACCTAGGCTTTCTTAATTCTCATAATGTATTACATTTAATTTGTGTATCGTTTCCATTAATTGGAAGGCTACTTCATTGTCCTGATTTGCACAATTTCTAATATATATGCATGTATCTTAAGTATTTATTTATTCATTTATGTTTTAGGGTGGTATTGGGCCCCCAGGTCCTCCAGGTGAACCTGGTGATTCAGGACCCATGGTAAGCATAATAGAGTTTTATAAGTTCTACATGTCAGAACTTTTTCAGAAGTTATGTTGATCAGTCTGGTGAACAAATTTCTTGTCAAAATATCCATAGACAGTACAATTTTGATTGCTTCATTTTCTGTTGAAGATCATTTAACTTCTTAATGTAAATATGCACCTTTTCTCTACTAGGGTCCACCTGGTGTTCGTGGCCCAGAAGGTCCTCCAGGAAAACCTGGTGAAGATGTAAGTTTCAAAATAGTTATCCTGTTCAATTTCCCAGCAGTATGCAGCTGGGTACATTATATAGTAATCATCAGAAAACAATCTTAAAATCAGCAAAGTTGATTTAGCAAAGCAAGGGAGATCATGTCAAGGCAACTGTCATTCATAAAACATTTTAAGGATCTTAAAAACCAGCAAAAGAAGCTTCTTTGGTCAGGAAGTTCTATAGGGGAGTAGGCACTAAATGAAAATCCTGTTCTTCACTGCCCTGTTTTAATAATAAGACAGGTATTTATGGAGTCCTTGGGGTTCTCTGAGCTTGGGTTAGCCCCGCTCAGAGGACCCCCAGGAATCCAAAGTTCAACCCTTAGCCTCACACATTCTCTTCTACA